AGAAGAGGTGCACCACATTTCGGTCCACGACGGTAGATGACCTCTAAAATTTGCTAAACAAATTCCTAAAAAAAATTGGAAAATGATCAGTCTAGAAACTTTATTAAAGTGATTACTGGTGGCAAATCTTGGTGCTATAAGTACAAAAGGCAGCAGCAAAAGTAATGATGTCAATTTACTTCAACCTTAGCTGCTATTCCACTGGAAAAGGTTCAGACGGTAACTTCAAAATGTTACAACGAAGTGCTTACTAAAATTTCCCAAAACTATGTTTGGAAAGAAAGAAAGAAAGAAGATTTGTGGTGCTACTTTTTACATCATGACAACGCGCCAACACATACTCCTAAAATAACGAGTGATTTTATTGTGATATCTGGGATTGAAGATCCGCGGATATAGCACTTTTTGAAAAAAGATAAAAAATAAAAGGTCTTCAATAGCAACGAGGAGATAATAAATGCTGTTAATGCAAAAAAAAAGATTTTGAAGACTGTTTTTAGAAGTTGATCTATAGGGTTAAGAAATGCTACGAAATCAATGGCAATTATGGAGAAAAGATAAAAAAGGAAAAGATTACGAATAAATTTTTTTCATTGATCACCCCACCGAACTTTTGTTAATCCCCTCGTATGAAGAGAAATTAATTAAACTTAAATTTTTATCAAGATTTCACAGTAACATTTGGGCAATGTGCTCAAAATAATATAGACGATTTTATTATTTCAATTAAAATTGTCAAAATGAAATGAACGTCGAATGATCAGAATTTATAATTTCTACAGGAATTTATAATGGGGAGAGCATGCACAAACCATTCAGTCCTCTCGTTAAATATAAGGGAAGGGCACTACTTGTACTCGTGTGTATATGTGTAATAGAAAATTTTCCTATGTACTGAAATGCCTCTGTGAGAATGCCATACATATTTTGGTACAAATTGCTGCATCAAATAACCCAAGCTTACACAGAGCAATGTAAACCAAACTGGGTCCAGCGTGCCAAAGTATGGGGAATACGGCGGAAAACCACGGCACGGGAAATAATTTAACACACATGATTGCTGCTGCTGTCCCATACACAGTCAACCGCCAACGAATATTGAACGCGCAACACAAAGCGAAAATGTAAAGAGCAGAAAATTAAGAAGCAGAAAAACTAAAAAGCAGAACGGCATAAATAAGACAATAAGCAAATAGGAAAGCAAAAACTAGAAAACCAAACAAAAAATAATTAAGAAAGGGCAGGAAAGTGAAGGAAAGCATGCGAGTAAAAAGAAAATTAAATGCATACAAAAAAAAGTGAAAATCTCGAAAATGAGAGATGTTTGTAAGGGCAGACATGAAAAAACCGGGACGAAACTCAGGCGACAGTGGAAATACTTAACCGTGCCGATTGGTCCAGAGGCAACGAAGCCAAACCTAACCAACCAACTAGCCAAGCAAGCAGTCAAATGAAAATGAGTATGGCTATATTTCCAACTCCGCAGCACTGTGGCGGTTAGATGCCGACGGCCACCGACTTTTGCGTGTACGTAACATACCGAAATTATGTGAGCCTAAATGTGTGTGTGAGCGCGCGTTTGTTTATATGAGATGACAGGACGCTCTTATTTATTCGTGTATTTATGCTAAATGTGAGTTGAGATACCGGCGATGTTGGCTGAGGTCTACGTGCATGTTCAATTGATACGCTCGAGTACATTGACATGCAATATTTTAATATGCCAAATGAAACATTCTTAGACCGAACAGTGAGTGGTATGGATGTAAGAAACAAAATAATGCAAAACCTGCGTTAACTCTTAACGCTGTCTTTGTTAGAGTGAGAGCATATTACAATAGTATCTAATATTCTATTCCGTAGGCACAGCTTATCTGAGGATATCAAGGACTCACCATGAAGCTGCTATGAAAATACTTTTCAATAAACAGACAGCAAGAGGGTTTTCTGCTAGACTTGGACTCCTGCTCTCTGTTAGCGCTTGTAAACAGGAACCTGCGGGAAGGTATTTCGAGCTCCCTAATTGCCTCTGCTAACGAAGCTATAGATTTCGGAAAATCATAAAAACAGCTTTCGTGACGAGGACTGCTGTGTCGCAGTGGAAAGAAAGCACACGGTTTACTTCGCAACGTTGTGATCGACTACTACACGAGCGTAATGGGATAGATACCAAGCATTGTAGAGGGAACCAAGACAACAAAAAAAAAAATTGTGCCGAATAGCGAGCGATTATTCGAGCGTTCAAAACCGGAGCACACTTCTGTAGAACCTAGAGAGGTAGCCCAGCGAACGATTCCCATAGTATCTTAAATGAAAAGAGAGAATACTTCATTAGCCTGCTGAATGGCTATGAGAGTGCAGCATCAGAAGATGGTGGACTCGATTACCCAACCCATGACGATCGAACCGGTGTTTTGTTGTCCAACTTTCGAGAAGTTTGAATAACATTTGCCTGCTTAGAAAATAACAAAGCTTATATTGTCGGACGAGCTATTCAATTACGAAGGTGAAAAGCTAACAAGAAGCCTGGCCTGGATCATCTTTTTTGAAAAATATATATCGGGCGTATTATGTGAAAAATTAACGCCCATCATCCACTCCAGCAGTAACCTGCCCAAAGACCAAAAAGAACTAGCTCTATGCCAAATTTACAGTCTCCTGGAAAATTATACAATTATACATTGTGAAGTCATTGCGGCCGGACGTGTTTTGTCTACGCTCGAGAGTTTAATACTGTTTCGGTGGCATTTTAAATAAAAATTCTTGGTATTGTTTCAGTGAGACAGTTTGTTTGTTTGTCTACCCGTTGAAGCTGATTTTCTTGTATATCTTTGTGTATTTGTGCTTATAAAACGCTGTGCTAGCAGAGAATCACCGTTCGCTAAGTCTCTTAAGCTTGACGATCACAATAATAATGCTCTCCCCACTTTACTGACTGCAGTACGAGATTTGGAGGAGAGAGTGAAAATGCAAAATGAAGAGATGCACTCACTTTTTAACACGCTTTCTGGCAAAATCAATGATATGCAAGAGATGCTCATGAAGAAGCATTTTGCGCTTTGAGGCTGATATGAAAAAACAAGAAGGTAAAATGCAGAAACTTAAAGCAACAATAAACTTGCTGTCAAGCAGAGGTGAGAGTTCTCAGGCAGATGCTATTGCTTTTGGTGTACCACTTACGGAGGGAGAGAACATTAGGAGTATCTTCCATCAAGTATGTCTCTCCATTGACTTTATGGTACCACAGATACGTGATGCGTTCAGAATAAAACAGTCGAATATGATAATTATAAAATTTTATTCTCCTGCTGATCGCGCGCGTACTCTTCGCGCATTTTTTGAATGTCGAAAGAGAATAAAATCGGCTATTCCCCTAACATCTATAGGAATTGATGGCAAGTTTAGCATCTTCGAAAGCCTGTCTACCGAGAAAAGAAAAATTTTTCAAGAAGGTTTAAAGCTAAAACGTTTGGGGAAGCTGCAGTCGGTGTTCTCTATGAGAGGAGATGTTTATGTTAGACTCAGTACAGACTCCACTGCATGCAAAGTAGGAAATGTTGATGATCTTCAGCGATTTCGTTAACTTTAACTTGTTATATTTATATTTTTATTTTTATTTGTATTGTAGCTTTATATATATTTCATATATGTTTTATTTGAATGTTTTTGTAAAAATGGTCATTCTCTTTTCCTTGCTTTATATTGTTATTCTTGAGGTTGCTTATGTTTTTGTTCTTGTTGAGCATGCAAAACAGCTGTCCTAGTATTGGCATGAACAGTCTCATGATTGATGTGCTATGTAAACAAAACAGTGGATTCAACATAGTCCATTTCAATGCGCGGAGTCTAAGTTCAGATAAAATGGATTATGTTCGCAACACATTTGAGCTTTCATCAATTGATGTCATCTGTGTTTCTGAAACATGGTTTGATGAGGATTTATGTTACTCGTCTACTAACATAAAAAACTACAAATTAATACGTAATGACAGGCCAGGAAGAAGAGGAGGTGGGGTTGCAATATTTTGCAAGGACATATTTTCTATGAAATTACTTTCAAAATCTGCCGATAGCGATATTGAATATTTAATTGTAGAAGTAAGCCATAAAAAATTCCAGACTGTTGTTTCTTGTGTTTATAATCCTCACCGAACTAATGTTGTCAAACCTTTTTTTGATGTAATTTCTTTATATGTTGTTAAGTACAATTCAGTTATAGTATGTGGTGATTTTAATGTTAATCTTCTTGTCAACGACTCTTATACAAATAATTTACTTGACAATCTATCCAGNAAACAAGTGCTTTGTGCTGCCAATCAGTGCTAGAAAACTGACAAATCTGGATTTTTTGCCCCCAATATTCATAGACAATTATCCCTTAAAATTAGTCAGCAAGATTAAAAACTTAGGATACATTATTAACTCTAATCTTACATGCACGGATCATGTAAACTCCATAGTTAGTAAGGTCTATCTCATTCTGAGGAATCTTAGGCAGTCAGCTATCTATACACCCACTGCTACCAGACGCCGACTTGCTATACAAATTATTCTTCCGGTCATCATGTACTCTGAAGTCGTATACAGCAAACATGACAGTTTTTCTGCTCGTAAAATTGACGTTATGTTTAATAATGTCACACGGTACGTGTTTGGTCTTTCCAAATATGAGCACATTTCGTCTTGGAAAGATCAGATATTAGGATGTACGATTGCGGACTATCATAAAGCCAGAAATTGTATTTTTCTTTGCAAGCTCATCATGACTCAATCACCTAGTTATCTTTTTTCCAAGTTATCGTTTACTCGGTCAGCCAGAGTAGGTAATATAATAATACCTTTTCATAGATCACAGCAATCATCAAGGCTGTTCTTTGTCAATGCTAGTCGATTATGGAACTCTCTTCCTGCTAATTTAAGGAGGAAATTAAACAGAAGCAATTTCAAGAACCACATATATATGCATTATAAAGGCCAAATTTCAAACATAGACTGACCATTCAATAATTCAATTGCCACACTCTAAATTTCTAATATATTCACCCTATTTAGGGATATCCAGAAACATTATTTTCGATATCAAGCGCTGGGATACCAGGACCATCAGTATCGCTGAAATGTAGTGCCTGTGGCAACCCAACACCAAAAATCGTCTTGCACTTAGATGGACTTCCACTGCCAAATGTAAGTATGGCAATACTTTAAGGCTGGAAATCAAAAAATAATATATGTATATGTTAATAGCTAGAAAAATTATTTTCAGTCAATGAATATTTTTTATAATTACTATTTATTTTTTTTTTATTTTTTGCTTAAATTATCAACATTAAGCTTTATCTTATCAACAATATATGTATCTATACGCGATTTATTTATGTTAGCAATGCTAGCTAACTACATTTCGAGCCACAATTAAATATGGTTTTCTTTAATAAAAATACAAATAAAATATACGACACTCTCGCAGGCATTGCGCTACATCACTTCATTATCAAATGATTAAAAAGTTGCTAACTCGATTATTTACCTGTCAGTTAGACACTCAGTCAAAGTTACTTCATAGAAGACATGGTGTCTGTGTATTTTTACGTTGCGTCTTCATATTTCAAATTCAATTTTGTCATTTGCGGAAATTGCACATATGTGTACTCATGTGCATATGTATGTATTGTAAGTATGGATGTAGTGTGTGTATAAACATATTCAGGCTCTGAGTGAAGCAATTTTATTTTCAGACGCTATATGATTGAAAAAGAGTAATGGCAAGAGCATTTGAAACCACTGGGAGTATGAAGTATAAAGTTGAGCTGATGTGGCGGTGACCTGCTCGAGTTTGAGAGTTGGAATTGTCGAAATATCTTCGAATTGCATTATCAACTTCTACATACTTGTGCAACTAAGCTCCAAATGTGAGAAAGAAAGATTATAACCGCATGAAATTAATTGCGTGTGCAAATATTTGTTCGCGTGCGTATGTTCATAACATTTCAGTAATGTAAAGGTTTCTTCATTCCCAACCAAGTATCGATAGTGATAAAGCCAGAGAAATATTTTTGGTATGGACAAAAAATTTGATACACTCTTTCTCTCTATTATAAAATAAATTTAAAAAAAAAATTATAAAATGAAACAAAAAATAAAATAAAAAATTAAATTAAATTAAATTGAAAGAAATTAAATAAAATGAAATTAAATAAAATTAACTAAAATGAAGTACCGTAAAATAAAAAAAACAAATGAAATTAAATAAAATTAACTAAAATAAAGTACAATAAAATAAATCAAACTAATATAAATAAAATCAGTAAAATAATATAAAATATTATTAAGTAAAGGAAATCAAAGCAACACAAAATGAAATAATTTGATATATAATAAAATAGAACTATTTGTTATAAATTTGTATAACAAAAATATTTACACAAAAAAAAAACAGGACTTTAGCTCACTAAAAACTTTTCAAAAAATTAATGGAATGATAGCAAAAAAACAAACAATTTAATGCAATTTAAATATCGTAATATATACATAAAAGGGAAGTAAAATAGTATAAAACTAAATTGAATCAGAATTTAATGAATAAAACATATTGTCTTGTATTATTATATAGAAATATTAAATGAGAGAAAAAAGTAAAATTTAAAAAACTTAAAGAAATAAAGCAAAAGAAATAAAATTATATTAAGTGAAATAAAATAAACTAAAATTAAGTTACATAAATTAAAATAAAATCAAAGTAAAATAAAATTAAAACGAAATAATAAATTATAAAGATATAAAATAAAAATTAAATAAAAATAAGATTAAATAAAATAAAGACCAAATTAAAAAAGATATGAGAGAATGAGATTAGAAGAAAGATTTAATTCAAGTGAACAAAATTAAATTAATAAAATACAGAAAAAAATTAAAACAAATTAAAAGTATAACTTAGTAATGGAATAAATAACAAGTGAAACAGTGTAGTGTATTAGCGGGTGAGGGAGTAGGGTGAATGTATTCGCTTAAGCAATATGCTCGTATCAAAAATTTTGCGTAACCCACTATGTAATTAAAATATTTAATTATAAAAAAAGTGGTGGATATAATAACATTAATAAAAAGTGAAGTTAAATAATCTTATATGACGTAAAATGAAAGAGTGTGGTACAGAATAACCAATTTTTCGGTCTCGGCTATTCTTGGACCGATTTTTTTACCCAAAACCTCTCATCTGAACAAATGGATGCTGCTAGGTCTATATGATAAATCCGTACAATTTCCATGATTTTAGATGGAAATGCCCATGTATATTACGAATGTAAAAACCTCATATCTAACACATCTGAAAAACTCGTTGAATGGGAGCTTTATGTTATAGGCTATAATTTATAACTTACTTACTTAGTTTACTGGCGTAGACACCGCTTACGCGATTATAGCCGATTTACAACAATGCGCAATTCGTTTCTTCTTTTTGCTGTTTGGCTCCAATTGGAAATACCAAGTACAGCCAGCTCCTTCTCTACCTGGTCTGTCCAAGAGAGTGGAGGTCTTCCTCTTCCTCTGCTTCCACCGGTGCTGCATCGAAAACTTTCATAGCTGGAGTATTCGCATACATATGGATCACATGACCTAGCCAGCGTAGCCGCTGCTCCTTGATTCGCTGAACTATATTAATGTCACCTTATAACTCGTACACCTCATCGTTCATCGTCTGCGGTATTCGCTATTGCCTACACTCAAAGGACCACAAATCTTACGCAAAACTTTTCTTGCGAAACTTCCTACTGCCGTCGGATCAGATGATATCATTGTCCATGATTTCGCACCATATAGCAGGACTGGAATGATGAGGGACTTGTAGAGCTTGGTTTTCGCCCCCCCGGGGAGGACTTAACTTTTCAATTGCCTACTCAGTCCAAAGTAGCACTTGTTGGCGCTGTATTTCAAGGCTGACGTTATTCTGGCTCTTAGATAGACGAAATTATCTACGACTTTAAAGTTATGACTGTCAACGGTGACGTGGGAGCCGAGTCACGAATGCGATGACTGTTTGTGTGATGAAAGCAGACCCATTTGCTTCGCTTCTTTATCAAACCTGGAGAAAGCAGAACTAACGCGCAGTTCTAAGACTTATAGATACTATAATAGTTCGATCATGTCGGTTCTGACAAGATATCAATTAAATATATCAGATATGTCAGTGTGTACTAAGTTTTATAAAATGAAATTAAATAATATTTCAAAAAAAAAAAAAAAACAATATACAATAAACTAAAATAAAGAACCAAATAAAACATGGTAAAAAAAGATTAAGTTACATTAAAGAGCGTAATTTCAAGAGACATTGTTATTACATGTTTAAAATGAAATTCAGTGGAAAAAGATTATATAAGTATTCGGGCTTTCCTATTTAGAAAAGTTATAGTTAGGTAAAATAATCTTGTTAGTATTATTTGGTTATTTTTACTATATAAAATAATTTATTTGATTCAATAGGTATTAGTTTTTGGATTACTTAATCTCGTCGTCTAAGAGCCAGTATCTCTTTTTTTCTTCCTTTCTAAGCCTTTTTCTTATTGTGTACCGTTCTGTGGAAAAGAAGGGCTTTGGCCCCATAGGATAGTTCTCGGTATTTCTCTTGCATGTTCGTCAGCAATTTCATTCCTTTAAATCTCCGGGTATTCAATTTGAGTGATCTGATCATACATCACTGTACCCTTTCTAGTCACTGTTAGGTTTTTTGTTTTTTAAAACTCCTGAACATATGCTTTACCATGCTTATACCAGAAATAACTCATTCCCATTAATTTTTGGAATTTTTTTTTGAAATTTTCATAGTATGAAATTGCGGTTCGAGCTGTCCTTCAATTTGTCAACATCTGTGTTTTTTACATTCTCATTTCTAATACTTATATATCATCCTAGGGACCAACTTCCCTGTAATGTTTCCCTTCCGAAAGATTCGTAAGCAATCGTTTTGTCAATGCTCTCCACGCCCTGCGTATGCGCTCGCTTTTACTGTCTTTGCATATTATCACTGCTGCTGATGGCTGCTGTTGAGACAACCAACATGCGAGTATTTTGCTTAACTTCCATTTTGAAGTCATGCACGAGAGGATACGCAAATTAAAGTCAACATCAGAGCTTTACGGCGTTCGAATTCTCCAAAGTCTGTGTCTTAAAATGTACCACTCCGAGAGACACATACGTGTATGAATGTATGCAAAGAAATGCGCCACAATTTTAAAATGCCATCAACACTCGTCTAGTGCAACACCGCTGCCGTTGCAATAATGCGAAGGAATACATTGCGATTGCGAAGTTAGCAAGAATGTTGAAGATGCGGCTGCTCTTGGTATGCTGGAGAATGCGTTGAATGCGCTAGTTGCGATGTTGCTTCGGTGCTTTGCGTCCATTCTATTTCTTTGCTTTGTTTGTGGCGTCGGAGAGCATACAGTGAATGTGCGTTCAGCCATATTCTCTTTGCGGATTTAATTGTTGTTGATGTGGTTTCCAAAATTGCTTAAGCTCAACTCTAGTTATATAATTATTATTATTTAAAAAGAAAATTTTTCTCCATATAGGATTATTTGTGTCATTTGTTTTATATGCATAATACATATATGAATACTGAGTTTATTCAGATTCTTACGAAAAGTTTTGAGGCGGTAAACGAATCTTTGTTTCAATTTTACAGAAGATATCTCAATGAGTTACTCACACACGATTTTTTTTTCAAATCTTTGTCAACAATATCCCACTGCATACTTTTTGCCCGCTTCGAATTTTTTAAACACGATTTTTTCACAAGAATAGGCATCAACCATTTCCCAAAAGCTTTCCAGCAGATATGGAAAATACGCGAAAATCTCTTTATGTAATAAAATAAACCTTTTATAATATTGCGACTTCGCTTAGAATTTTGATAAATTTTTATTATTTTTGACATTATGCCATTCGGATTACACGACACCAAAAGTTTGAGTTGCTGGCTATAGAAATTTTTGTAAAAAAATAATATTAATTTCTATAATTTAAAAATTGTGAAATTTTAAAATATATTTGTTTGACATAAGACTATTTCAGGACATGGTTTTTAATTTAGAAAAAATTTAATGCATTTTATAGTCAAAATGTTACGTTGGTTTATGGATTAAAACTGTTTTAAAATCTTCGGCAACCCACTAATTTGAACCAACTTCGTCATTTCTATACACCTTGAATGTTTACTTTGTATATACGTAAAATTCTAAATTTTTTTCATTTTTGTATGATTGTTTTCGAGCTCTGTTTGATGTAATAAGTGCCCATCAGCTCAACTAAATATTTTGGCAAGTACTTTTTTTCCACTGAAGAACAGGTGGCGTTGTGCATTGTGCATTTTGAGCATTCGTTTATGAAAACTGAAGAATTTTGTAAACAACATGAATAGTTGGAAAAGGAGAGATCCGTCGTTATTTATCAGGCGAAAAATATGAAGGAAATCAATATGAGCAAGCAGAAAACTCGAGTTATGAAACCTATTACGGAATAAGCTTTCGTCTATTTGATTAGTGTTCGACAAGTAGACAGCACACTTGAAGGCCCTGTTTAACCTTGACAGATCAATCACAGTAGTTGTACAAATAGTTCCTTTCAGCTACCAATGCCCATTTCTGCAATATATTTTATCCAAACGAAGTGTGGAATAAAAATTTTACTATTTTGCGGTTCAGAGTAGTACTACGCTCACACTGTGTGGTTTTAGTAAGCGAACGCACAAGAAAGTAACTTGTAAGTTATATGTGCAGCCTGCTTAAGCTTTATGTGGAACAAACGTAAAGATAAACACCGATTGCCATATTTTGCTATATTTTTTTTTACATTTTCGTTTGTTTTTCTTTTTATTCATAATCTTTTCGCAATTACATTCGTTCCGCTAACTTAGCTCAGTTTTTTCGTATTCATCGCTTCGCATATGCTTTGATTGCTATCAGCCTCGATCGCTGATCTTTTTTTATAATATCTAATTGCTTTAGTTCAAAAATTTTGGATTATAATAAAGTCGAATTTTATATCTAGTACTCACCGCATTCTTATATCAAGACACACTGTTATGCTCGATCTGTCCTAGAATCTCACAAACCAAAATGTTACATTTGATAATTTTTTTAGCTTGGAATAAATTTATTGGAAAATCATCAAAGCGCATAATTACAAATTGGAGTAAGAGCTCGGAGAAAATCGCTTCAGGGGTTGCAAAGCACCAACTTTATATATGTAAATGTATTGAAAAATGATTTTTATAATTACCTTTTAATGAATAAAGCATTGAAATATTAATACTTTCGCAGCTCTGACTTATGCCTCAGTTATGCGAACATAAAATACTCATGATGTACGTACGCACATAGCGTACAGAGCCCATCAATATCATTGAATTATTCGAACTGTTGGATATGGATTCAAATAGTAGTATAACGTCTTCTTGGCCTTTTTAAGATTAAAGATCAGGAAAATGTCTTGGTTCAAAAATAATATACGAGCATTTTAAAATTATTATTCCATTGCAACAAAAAAAATATTACCAAGAGCAAATAAATATCTGTTTTATGATATTGTATATCGCTGAAGCGATTTTCGGTCGAGCACCTTCCCTAATTTGTAGTTTTGCGTCTTGATGTTTTTCCAAAAAACTGAGGGACCTACAGTTTACACTAAGCCGGTTTCCCTAAGATGGGTTTTTTATGAGGAGCTTGTTCTTTCAGAGGGGTGGACATTCCCTGCCGAGGGGCGACCGCAATTAGAAAATTTAACTTACTTTTTTTTGTTACATATAAACCAAAAAAAGACTTTTTCCAGCTTAAATGTATGTTTTTTTTCCCTGCTGTCCATCCTTATACAGAACGACCGTCTCATGATTGGACAATATGTCACAATGTTTGGTGATGTTATAAGACATGTCAACATATCTGCGGTGAAGTCAGAGGATGGCGGTGAATATGAGTGCAAAGCGAGTTCGCGTGCAAGGAAAGCATCTCATGCGGCACGTTTAAATATATGCGGTGAGTGCGTACGTGTATATGTTTCTGTACTTATTTTATTAATGTCGCGTGCCCAACAGCAAAGTAAATATAATATCTTCTAAATGTTCAGTCAAGTTGTTTAATTTACATGGATACAAAATTGTACATACAAACAAACTAGCTAAACAGCTAGACTGATTGGCAGGATGCTACATTATTTGAGAGATTCAGTTGTAATTAACTTCGTGCTCTTACGTTGAAATTTTGAATATTTACTTGTTTGCTTAGCTGAGATCCACTTACCTAAAGAATTTTCCATTTACAAGCATACAGATATATATAAAATTTATCTATGTTCCTTTTTGACTTAATTTGGCGGGTAAAACTTTTTTTGGAAATGTCCCGTGGTAGAATATCTAAACGACAGCACCATCTTAGAGAAAGGTAAGCCAGGTGTAACATAAGCGAAACGAATGTGGGGAAACGATAACAGACTAAATTAGGAATGGACGTACTGTAGGCAGACGAGCCGATGTCGGTTAAGGGGACCTTGGAAACTTGGCAGCCGTAACAATGTCCATGGATACTCAAGGAACACGAGTAAAGCGGGTGGGTCAGCTCCGATTGACAGGGCAATTATCCTACTTTCCTTTTCCATATCCCTCTTTAATTCCTTGTACATCCGTGTACCAAACTCCTTCTCCAGATCATACAGGAATTATATATTATGGTTATAGTGGCTGAAAGTAAGGCGAAAGTGGCAAAAACCACCCCAGACGACGAGCTAGCTTTTGATCGCAAGTCTCACCACAGAGACTAATCCCAACAGGCAGCCACGTAAAAATATTTAGAAGCGATATGAAGCAAGAGATTGAACTGGAAACACAAGAGAGTTCAGTGACACGAGCATGCTGGCATCAATACACAACTGCTGTTGAGGCCTGGCCCAAGGTTTGTTGCATGTCCTACGTATCAGTGGCAAAACCAATGCACTTTTCCATGCCAAGTGAAACTGTTAATGCCATCTTCAATATCATACAACTCGATTTAATGTATTGGTCGAAGGCATTAGCAGCACTTTTTATAAGTAAATGAAGCCAATAGAGATACTCAACTTTTTGGGCACTCAGCAAGACAAAAAAAATATACTTTCTCACCACGCATTTTAGACTAATTTGGTTGAATGTAATTTGGCGAAATATTTACGGATGAATTAAAACTTAAGAGGAGAATCAGTGGTGGTGTATTCTCACGAAAGCCTTCATATAACTTTGATTCAGCTCATGCCAATGGAACATTATATAACAAACCCAGCTTTTAAGTTTTATGCTTAGAAATTTTAATAACACATTTCTCAATGACAGCTAACAAATGTGGGAATGAAGGGAATCGAATAGGTTGGAAATTAGAGCCTTATTCAGGCCTAATTATAATAGATGTGCTTCAGCCTCTACAACTTAATACTAACATGTACATATTCTTCTACTCCTCATCCAAACAGTGATGTTCCATGAAAAACCAATCGGGGGATATGTATCAGAATATACTAGTTAAAATACCAGCATCAAAAGAAGTTACTCTAAGAATTTTTTTGTATTCTGCAAATTATTAATACTTACTGGCCTTTAGTTATTATAGGACTAGAGACCTGACTAGGTGATCTGAGGAGTACAAAAGAGATACCCGTCTGTATACCTGAATAATGTATTTGATGATTGAAGTATAAAATTCTCAAGAATTATATATTAATTAGCTCTTTTCAAATCCTCTATCTCTCGCATTAAAAATTTTATCATACCTTCTTCTAAAACATTGATGAGTAATAAAGATAGAACTCTTCATTATACTTTTCCCTACATTAAGACCATTGGCAGTCCTTGGAGTCGCAAGAGTCTGGAATTTTTACAGAAATTTTTTGGAAAAGTAAAGGAAGAACCAATAATTTCTTTCATTTGTCATGTTTCATGTGCATAAGACTCTGCAGAATTTTAATGTGGATTCAAAGAAATATATTTAAATCATTTAAAAACTTGCTTAGAGTTTCTTAAGGCTGAACTATGAACTATGAAACACATTGCACTCAATTATAGTTGATTCTGGTTGGGCGAGCATCAGAACAGCTTTGGGAGTTTTTCCAGACAATCCTCATTTATGGTTGCAAGTGATTGCTTTATGTTTTTTTTTGCGATTGCCAACTAACATATGACAGCGTGCTCAGAACGGCAACCTGCCCATGAAGAATGTGCAACGTACTGCCGATCGGGGTACATACACTACACCAAGCACAACTACACAACGCAGCGTACGGTGGAGATGAAAGCTTTGGGTGAGCGTTAAAATTGTATGCAGGCAGCTTTTCACGTTGGTATTGGTATTTCAATCAACATTTCGGGTTATTTTTGTTTATGTTCGGTTGCAGTTGTGCGGCGAATTTGGAAATTTTAACAGTTAATGTAAAACCGTAATACGATGAAATGTTGTGTACGGCACGCCAACACAAACTACTAAGTGCTGGTGGATAAAAATTTTGAATAATGAATACAACAACTCTGTGGTAAACTAAGGGGAGAGTTATTTAAAAACTGTATTCATCTGGGTATACATTTATGGAATGACGGCCGAAAGGTATCAGAAATTATTTTTTTTGTTCATCTGAAAAATAAATTTTTATATATTGTGCATGGATGTTCTTATATACTTTTATATTTTTTGATTAAGAGCCCAGTTTTTTAGTGTGAGGCATAATTCATGATAACGGTATATTAAAGCGCTCAGCTTACCCAGGCAGTATTTCCAGAATATTTAAAATAAACGATACATACTCGTCTGTATAGGATTACCCATTTCGTGGATTCATAAGTACAGGGCAGTACTTAGGCATCTGGTTAACTTAATTCTCAAACGAAACATGTTTTGTTTTAGATAAAAGTCAAGCATTGATGATAATGAATCTCTTAACAACCATCAAACGTATTAAAATTCTTAAAACCTCCTACAAAAAAGGAAATTATTGTCCACATAATCGTTCACCTTCTCAAGGAAATTTGAAAGACTGGACCGCTTACAGATATTGTATGGCCTGTCCGTGGTCGTTTTGAGCTGAGACTTTCTTACGGCTCATTTTAACATACGTTTGCATCCGTATAAAGTCTAGCTTGCTGAACAGCTGAAGCCAGTTGACCAACGTCGTGAATGCAAACTTTTCTTCACCCACGAGGCATATTTTGCCTAAAGGTATTCGCAAATGAAAAAAATTGTTACATTTAGGGCTCCGAAGACTATCAAATATTTCAACAGCCATTACGCCTAAAAAAACTTACTCGTTGAACCCTTCTTTGATGCGGAAGAGTCATTGCACTTATTTTTTGAAAACGAGAACAATGAGACTGTCACTGTTAATCCGGAGCGTTTTAAACGTATGATAACCGACTTTGTTTTTCCTGTGACTAAAAAGCCCGATTTGGAAAATACCTGGTTTCATCAAGACTGTGTCACATGACACAAAGCACGACCTACTATGGCTTTATTGTAAGAAAAATTTCCCAACCGTGCAAACTCTAGTCTGAGCGATTGAACACCAATATCGTGTGGTTTGACACCGTTAAATTGTTATTGTGGGGCTGCGCAAAAGACGATGTTTAAGCGGCTCGAAGTGAAGTTTTCATACGGCCATTTTAATTATAAAAATAAGGGCAAAGTTCGGGGGGTTACCCTTTGCATATGACAGTGTTGGGCTTGTATGTTTCCTATAAGGATGATTAAAAATGTTAGAAGACCCCATTAAGTAGACAAACCGTTCCATTGAGATTAAATAAATTGCTCCGAAGAAACCTATTCAAGTAACTGTTCTTGTTAAGGGATTATGTCACTTCTTCTTTCGCAATTTTACACATAAAGAGTACACGTACTTCTATTTAGAAATGATCCATTCCACAGAATTAAATTTTCCTTTTTATATGTTTTCATTTTCTATTGTTAAATCTCACTCACATTTCTGATGATCTTATACTAAAGTCCCATTTACATATCTATCATTGCAGATCACGAGCAAGGGACTCAACAAAATGCCGTGTGTTTGGCCGACTGCCCCCCTGAGCTTATATATACGCGTGGAAGCTATGACTGTGCAAGGCAACTTCCAACACTACCTCAGCGTGTGATTCAGAAGCCGTTTACCATCAGCGTGGACTCTCTCACCATATTCGTCTCCACTAAGAGAAACATTAACACCAATCCCAGCGTGAAAAGGTGCGTGCAGAGATAATCATGAGATCAACTCAACAGCGAGCAAAACGGCTGCGACGATTGGTTATTGATGCGCGAAAGGCCATCGACTAACTGGAAAAGAAGCTACACCAACTGAGTAGGTTAGGGTGGCTCTTTGACCTCCACGCTTTTAATTTTTATTTTAATCTAAATCCTAATGGTTGGCGACTACAAGCCATAAACTATAACAAAATAAGCTTGTGTTAAAATTCATAAAATTTTAATTTCGCCTAAAATAATTTTCAATAATAATTTACCCTATCTGAAATTGCATCATTGTATAAATAAATAAAAAAAGCAATTCAATTTAATACATATGAAAAAATTATAATTCTCCATATTCTTTCGTATGGAAGTACTAATTCCCAGGTATTTTTGAGTTTTGGAAAATGTTGGATTTATCACACTAATAACGGCTTGTTGATAAGGTGTGACTTTCAAGCTGTTATCTTTTTGGCAGCACGGGTTTAAACAGCTGACGCACGTTTCGTATTTTGTATCACTGTCAAACGTCTTCAGTTTGGTGTATAATTTAACCATGAATCGTTTTACCAACGAACAACGCTTGGAATTTATTGAATTTGACTATCAAAATTTTAAAAAGTTCATCGCAAGCTTCTTCCACGCGCGCTTCGAAGCTCATTTTTGGCTTTACGGGTGCATCAATAAGCAGAATTGTCGACTTTGAAGTGAAGATCAGCCAGAAGTATTGCAAGAGCTACCAATGCATCCACAAAAAATCACAGTTTGGGGCGGTTTTTGGGCTGGTGGCATTATTGGACCGTAGTTCCGCAAAGATGATGCGAATCGTAAAGTAACTGTGAATGGTGAGCGCTACCGTAAGGTGATATCAAACTTTTTTTGTCCAAAATGCGAGAGCTTGACTTGCATGACAAGTAGTTTCAACAAGACGGTGCCATATGCCACACAGAACGAGTAACAGTTGACTTATTGAGAGTCAATTGGCCGCCGAAATTGCATGATCATATCATGCCTTTAGACTATTTTAAGTTAAATCTTATGTCTATACAGACAAGCCCGCTTCAATTTTCGCATTGGAGGACAATATTGAAGAACATATATTCGTGAGATACCGGACGAAATGTTGGAAGGGGTATGCCAAAATTGGACTAGGAGGATGGACCATTTGAGGCGCAGTCACGGTCAACATTTGCATAAAATGATCTTCAAACATTAAATTATGTGCTATTGATTTAAATAAATATTTCATGCATTTTTATGAATTTTTATGTTTTTTTTTTGAACAACTTTCCTCGTCCTTCATAAGTTTTAATACAGTAAGTATTTCTCGCAGTACATTATATTTAACCTGACACAGACTGGCCTTCCCTACTTTTGTGAATTTATCAGGGTTGAATTTAATTTCAATTAGCAGGCACTGGATTTTTCTTGGCTCTAATGAGGACAAATTGAATAAAACGAGTCTTAGTTAAACAAAATTAGTAGTTGTTTCGATTAAAGCGGCATCGCTACTTATTATAAAAGTCAGCTGACTGAGTAGATTTGAACCCACCACATGAAAAACAACATTCAGTGAAAAATTTAAATCAGCGTCGGATGTGAGACCCCCCATTTCGATGACGACCCTCGCAAACGTCTTAAGGGGTGGTATAGATACCGCGAGCCGAAGAGGAAAGTAAAACGAATTTTTAGGGAAAAAAGAAAGAATTCGGAATGCGTGAGTACGAGGAGCTTGAGAAACTGGCCGACAAGGGTAACGCTCGAAAATTCTACTGAAAGATACGGCAACTTACGGAATATAATCAATACCGGAGAAAGTTCTGGTAGGACCCAGAGCGATGATCTAGTAACGGATGCCCAAAGTTTACCGAATCTATGAAAGGAACACTTCTCCATCATTCTGAATGACAAGAAAAATGAAGCACCCGGGGAAGGTGAACCCGAAATTCCAACTGATGACAATGGAAAAGTTGTTCCATTATCTGACTATGAAGAAGTCCGAATTACCGATGGATTACCGGCGGAGCTATACAAATCCGGCGGTAAAGAACTGATCAGATACATGCATCAGCTTCTTGGCAAAATATTGTCAGATGCCGATTGGAACCTAAGTGTGGTCTAACCAATCCACAAAAAAAAACGAGCTCAGGTGGAGAGTGACCTGGCTTCCCTTGTTATTTCCAACTAGCGCCAGACAGCGAAAAGAAGTGAGGAATGGCGCACTAATATCGATTCGGCTGTAATCGCGTAAGCGGTGCCAACACCAATAAAGAAGAAGAATTATTTACTATATATTATTTTTTTATATTATCATTTATCTAATATTTATTATCAAATATTTAATTTTTTTTATTTAGCTCCTTATATGCATGTATGGTTTACTATTTATTAGCCATAACTCTGTTTTTGTTATTTTTTTTTTGAATATTTATTTTCTTTATTATCTTTCATTTTATTTATAGTAATTAATTTTTGTTAAATATTTGATATTTCTTTATTACCATTTATATATTTACTATTTATTTTACAGATTTTTTTATTGATTATTTGTATTTCGTCTTTATTGGTTATTATTTTTGAAATATTGCTTAGCGGTTATTATTTATAGTTTTTTTATTATTTCTGAATCATTATATATTACTTATTATTTGTTTCTTGTAATTATTATTTTTTTTTAGTTTGTAATTTAATATTATATCCTTACTATTATTATTATTCATTCCTTACATTTTGCTTTTCTTGTTTATTCCTATATATATATTGCATTTAAGATTCAATACTAATAACTTACTTCACATGCTGGAACTGAAATTAATTTACCCCGCAGGATAATTTTTTCACCTTAGCTAAAATTAGCTTATGGTTAACTCGCCATTATATCGGTTACCAATAAAATTTTGTCAGTACTTTATTGAAGATGAGTATTTGTTCAAAATATTTAAGGGTTTCGTACTAGTAGCGTACTGCTTTACGTGAAATAGAGATAAATGCAGTGCCAGAATGCACAAGAAACGAACGAATTTAAAAGTTGTAACTGAAGAGATCTCCCCATGGTTTTTATTTTCGGAAAAATCTGTCATCTAATAAAAATTTTTGATTAATTTTCAATTTTTTTTTTTTAAGTTCTATGAGAGACTTTTGGCTGCATTGTACTTCTATTCAGATGGTTGCTTTAATTAATTTACTCTGGTAAAAAGTATTTTATAACAATCAATTTCAAAACATTTCAGCCGATAGTCATTCCATAAGTCAAAATATGCTAAAACGGATTAAATGCATACAATGAAAAATAAATATACAATATAAAAATAATAAAATATATAATTTTAATAACTAATACGTACCAGCGTAAAAGGCGTATATATGTTATATACTATTACATGTAAACTTTTATTTTTACTGAACAATTCACAACTCATAAAAAATATTTTCACATTTAAACTTCACGCTATTTCAGTTACCCATAAAACGCATTTTTGCCACCTCTGCTAACAAACATACACAAAACTCGCACACTCACGCACGTCTACTTATATGCACATGCTGGCATTTTCCCAGTTTTATGCGCAACAACAAAAAAATATTATTACATTTACCAACTAACAAATGAACGAAAAATAGAGCAAATATGCATACCTTTATTTAAATACATACCACATGCATATACATAAATATATACATACAGATATATTTTTATAATATTTTACCATTCAATTGTCCAACTACGTTTTTTCTGCTTTGCTCTCTGCCTTGCCTTTCTACTCGTTACCTACCGTATTTTTGTCCCATATTTCAGTGCTATTTTTTATTTTCTTATACTCCGTATTTATACCCATTTATTCATGCTCGTTGTGTGTGTGTATTTTGAATTTTGTTGTTGTTGCTAAAAATGTTTTTTTGGGCTGCATACTATCAGATTGCAAAGTCTTGTGCAATTATTTTTTCATACACGCACATGTACTAATATGGTACACATATATTTCATATATGTATTTATATGTAAAAATAACAATTTCAAATTTGCAATGCGTTGTCTTTGAAATATGACAGTGAGAAATTGATGAAATTTTAAATGCAAAGATAAATGTTAATTAAGGACTTTTTGTGTTAGGCTTGTAATATAAATGCACATACATACACATTAATTTTATGCATTTATTTATAGTACACGTAAAAAAAAAACGAAATCAATAAAAATATTAAACGAAAAAAAATATTTAAAAATATATGCACAATATAAATAAACTTACCTTAAAATAGCGCACATCAAATAAACAAAAATCTTGTTATAAAAAAATATAAATACAACACTTTTTAGTGCACATAAAATTGCCATAAAATACTTCGCATCTAAAGATTGCATTTGTACAAAACGACATTCCAAACCTATGAAAGTATGAATGCAGATCCTGCTCACATCCAATTCCATGTCAAAATATTTATTTCCTCCATATCCATATTTCCTTGCGCACTTTTTTCATTACGTCATACTCACACTGCATTAAAAAAACAAGGGATTATTTTATGTCATCACGGGAGTCCTTTCATTAGCATATGCATTTCAAGTTTTATTTTGGGTTGTCACATCGACACACACACATACACATTTGGCGTCTCTGATATCAAGGTTTGCATGATAAGTACGTCGTTCAAAGCTGAATTACAATTTCAAAATCCTCATAACTGATTTTCTGCATGAAAAGCTTAAATCGATGCAGTAAACTCTGTCTAATAACGGCTTTCACTTATGACCACATAAAGCCTTCAAATTGTTTAGTACTGGTTTAAAGAATAGGGATGATCATTGGATTCTACTTTTTTGGTAGAATCTTACTAAGAGTGCCCGTTATCATAACTCCTCCTGGACCCTAGCTGGTTCCCGAGGGAATACTAAAATCTTAGATAATCTGGTAGTAGATACAGTAATGCCAACAAACTAGTCAGCTCGTCCGAATTTCCTTAGACATTTTACAACTACATGATTAGGTATCGCAGTGTATTTGCAGTGATAGTCTGTTGATTATTTTTCCAGTAAACCGGTTGTCCATCCGACTCCTACACAGTTAGCAGACGAAGCAACCTTGGCCATTGGAGCGGTTGAAGGAGAATTTGCTTTTGTGCATTTAGATAACTACGTCTTCGGTATTGGACTTGTTTTTTACACAGTGTTATCATCTTCTGTATTCATCCATGTCAT